ATTGCTGACTTATTTTGAAACCTACTGACTGCTACACCTGAATTTAAGGTTTACAAACTGCGCGCCGTGTACATCCTGTTTAAGGAAAAGTACGTTTTTACCTACACTTTGGAGAAGAAGTCACTTTATTAAGGGAAGAAGGCTTTCGCCCTTAGTTGGCATAAAAGGTTGCAATAGATGTTGATCATGCTGTATGCATTATATGCAGCATTAATAAATTGACGGATACGATATATTATTAATGAACACCTTACAATCGTAAAAAAATCTCGTAATTGGAAATTTTTCTAAAACTGAAGGATACCCATTCTTTAAGTATAACATTTAAAGAAGACGTCATTTGTTACCAAATGAGTAAAATAAAGAACTTTTTTCGTGCTTGATTTCCATAAACTATATTTGAATTTATAAAGGCAGACCAAATCAATGATAAAGATGCATAGTACCTAAGCAGCCATTTTTAAAAGTACACGGTTTTTGTTAGCGGCCAGTAAGAAGTTCGTGAAATAGCTGGCATCCTATTGTGACTAAAATGACTCGAGAACAGGTTACAGGATAATCAGTATAACAACCTTATTCAATGCCGATTAGCGAATGAGTATCAATCTTTCGCAAATGTCGGTATGTTGCAAGAATTCTGGGCCATGCTGTAGTCGAACTGGCGTTACTGATATCTCGTTGGCCGCCAACCGATGCTCTAACTGTTGGTTCATACTTGTAGCCGCAGTTACCTCTGACGATGGAGCACGTAAGCTGATATGAACAAAGAAACGGCTCCTCTGCTTCTTCATCCCCTAGAGTGCAAACACTCACCTCAATCTACGAGAACTCCTAATAAAATCACCTCTCATAAATCCAGCCACTTACTTAGTTGGGCATTGTTTGATGATTTTTATTAGGAGGGGGAGGGGGAAGTGGGCGGGAGCAAAAAACAGCCTTGGGGCCAAGAAATATCAGTCGAAGAAGCGGCAAAAAACCACCTAAAGTGTGCACCTGAAGACAGTTGGAGTCCGTGAAGAAGGCCCTATTTGTGTTTTTGATGTCCGTAGTTAGAGTCATTACGACTTCATTGTTGTTGTACGGGTGAGTGAGATTCAGGATGTTCTCCACCTCAATAGCCAGCCGGCCGGGCTCACCTGAAAGGAAGGCAGGATAGAGTAACGAGCATTGATACACAAAATCCCAGAGAGTGGCGTTATCCGGCACAAAAGACTACGCACAAACGTACACGGGGGCAGCTTACATAGGGTCTTGCATGCCCGTCTGAAAGGCTACCGGTAGATTTTTTTGCCTGTGCGGTTCAGCGAACGTTTCCGTGAATTGACATGGTGGGCTTGTGCAAGCCGTTACTTCAAACGTAATTAATTCTATCGAGCTGCAGGTCCAAGAACACGAACTCTCACTCCCGATTTCCTTGCAGACTCAAATGCAAAGATAGGTTGGGTAAGCCTATCAGGTTAAACATATATTGCTAACTACAGTGCAATGGTAGAGTTTTAAACTCAATGACAAGAGGTCCCAGGTTCGAATCTCAGGGTTCCGACCCTTGAATTGGGCATGAGTAGCTGATGACGACTAAAAATCCAGAAATGGCCATTCCGGTCTTTCTTGACTTTGTCAGTTCCACTTTATTTTCATGTCTGAAGTCACTGCCTACGATCACTCAAGTACGAGCTCTAAAGCACAACGGGACAAGAATATTCCCTAATGAGATAGATCGGACAAACATCCCAGTTCCATACCTGACTACTATATACGTTTTAGATGGAGATGGTAATTACTCCATTCATATAATCACATGCACAAGGTTATTCTAATATGATGTTTACTTATTGCGTGCTACATTTTAGTTACTTTTGTAATCTCGCGCTCAATTCCGTTGGCATATGTAGGACAAAGAGAATGAATTTGGCAGAAATGTATTTAGTAGGGAGAAATGTATTTATTAGGGGGAAATGTATTTATTTCTATGTTTTCTTTTAAAATTCGCGACACTTGTGCACCGAAAGGCTCTACCCGTCAAACCTACCGCGGCCAACACGAATGCAACGCACAGAAAACATGCGCTAATATGAATAATTTTTTCATACTCACTTGGTAAAGTTTTACGTCTTAATAAGATGTTATGCGTGACGCGAGTGTATGTTTTGGTTTTTAGAAACCTCTTAAAATGAGGTTTAAACCCGATCTGTCGTTATATATGCATTCCGGGCTTCCAAACTACAGGCTACACACGTTCCTTAAGTCTGAAAAGTCAGAGTTCCAGGATAAGAATCAGATATCATGTGCTCACTGGAATGAGTTTATTTGTTCGCTGACGTTTCGTACAACTGGGCTGGGTGTCCTTTGTCAAAGCTTAAGCTGACTTCATCGATCAGCAATTTGAAGTTACGGCTGTACGTTTCGTTCGTGGGCTGATCGATTTTTCTTCGCTCGTCGCTTGGTCCCTCGAGTGGATTTTTGCCTAGCTTGACGGCCGTTAGTTTTGCGAAGACAAAATCGATCAGCCAACGGCCGAATGTATTGGCAGCAAAGGCTAGGGAGACTGGAATTTCCATTTTTGGCTTATTAGCTGTCGTCAGTCAGTCATATCCAATGCCAAGTGGTGCATTATCTGAGGCTCGAACTAAAGATTCCTTGATCAGAAGTCTAACACCCTAACCATTGAGCTACGAGCTCGTTGCCCTGCCGGTTTTAGATAAATAAATACTGACTCTAGTTCACCGATAGCTAACAGAACGCGCTCGTCTCGCTCTGCTTCGGGGCTCATTATCGAGCTTCACCAGCAGCCACATAGCGGCTAGTATTGAGGAGAGATAGGCTGGCGGAGTTCAAGAATGAGCCCCAAAGCAGAGCAAGACGAGTGGCTTCCATTAGTGATCATTGAACATTCATCAACGAATATAATTTCAGTCGGAAACGGGAGAGGGGGAGGACTCTCTGACGCCTGCGGAAAATTTCAAAAGTAGGCATAAAATAACCATGCAGATAAAAAACGGTACAGAACTATAGGGTAGTCAAATATAGAAAGTACCTATTTTGTAGATACGAACAGTGTGCACAAGGTTTTCGTGGTAGACGGCCACCTCGTCCACAACGGAACCCGAGACCACACGAACCCTCGGTTCTGAAGTCAGGGGCAGCGGCTGAAAAGAGTGACATGAAATTTATGGGATGCAAACTCACAGAGGTCAGCAGAAAGAAAAAAGAGAAGTCAGTCTTGAAGACAACAGTCAACATACCACACTCGGAAGTTCTGGTATGAAAAGGTAAGCCCCAGACATTTCCCGAGTCTGCTTCGATTTGAACATATTGAAGGAGATGGACAGCATATGGTCAATACCACTGACCAAATTCGTCATTGACTTTAGGAGTGAAAAAAAGGGGAGAAAAATAGATTAGAAAACAAGATTCCTTAAAAGGACTAAAAAGCAAAAGACCCATGCACTTTGGCAAAACTAACCATCAAAAAGCCAGTTTTGGGGTTAAAAAGTAGACGCATTTGGGAGCTCTCTAGGCCGTTAGGCAACGGATTCTTCTGAGCTTGTTCGTGTAGATAGGGATAAGCTACACTAGAAAAGAGAAGAGCAGATTACACTCCTACTAATAATATGTAAATAGTCACTAATAATTAGGCTTAGTTCGCGGTTTCGGACTCACCCCTCGAGGGCTATGTTGTAGAGGACTGG